AAGAAGTAAAGAAAAATTCTTTAAAGATAGCATATTACATTCAAAACTATTACATTCATTTGATCAGTAGATTACAGGTGTTTTCAAAAGTTTGTTTTTTGTTTTTGTTTTTGTTTTTTGGTTTTTGGTTTTTTTTTGGTCTTTTGAGACAGGATCTCCCTGTAGCCCTAGCTGACCTAGAACTCACCATGTAGACCAGGCTGGCCTTGATTTCACAGAGATCAACCTGCCTCTGCCTCCCAAGTGCTGGGATTAAAGTCCTGCGCCACTACACCCAGCTCAAAAGATTTTTTTGATAACATGTTCTTTGGTATAACTGCATTATATATTTGATATCACAAATACATCATATATATAATCACTATGACAGTAAAATATTTATTAGCCCATTAAATAGAGCACCACATATTGTGACCAAAAAAACAAAAGAACAAACACAGTTCCATTCTTTCTCAGCGATGGAATTCAGTTAACGAATATGAACCATAAGATCTGAGGAAGGGAACACATGGGATTTGTAATAGAGATCTAGAGGTCAGGAACAGTCAGTCACCAGCCAGCTCTGGGGCTTGAGGTAGGTGGCTGAGGTTTGGGCTCAGCACCCTCTGTAAACTCCCACTTCACAAGGCCAAGTGAGGTTGAGAAAAGACAACACACACTAAAGTGCTTTCTGTGCCACAAAACATACTTAAATGCTGGTAATTCATTTATTCAGTGATTATCCTATTAGCTCAGTCATTTTATAATTGGGGAAAATTAGCAGAAATGTCAAGTAACTCTGACAACCACCCAGTCTAGGGAACCAGAAATATTAATCTAGCAGGAAAAAAATGTAAGAAACAGTGGAAGAATCGGCCATCAACAAACAAAAAGAAAACACAGTAGCGTTCTCCCGTAGAAAAATATCAAGTTTTCTCCAAAACAAGGCCTGGGACAATCTTTCGAAAAATCTCATTGTTTCCGGTGGCCCACGCCTTTAATCCCAGCACTTGGCGGGGGCAGGAGTCAGTGGATCGCTGCGAGTTCAAGGCCAGCCTGGTCTATATAGTGAGTTCCAGGATAGCTGGCGCTATGGGGAGGCCCTGTCTCAGAAAAGACAAAAAAGAAAAAGAAAAAGAAAAATTTCATTGTCAAGTTTTTTTACTTCCTAAGGTATTTGACAGAAATGTAGCAAATCAAGATTCAGTAACCATTTCTGGAGCAGTCTGACACTGTCCCAAAGTCTGTAATCAGAGAGCATCAGAGTGTCAACTCCAAGAGGAAAGACCACAGAGAAGACTCCGCTGCCAACAGCCACAACAGACATCTCTGATCAGACACACGCAACTCACCTCTAAAGCAGGGGGAGGCTAGCTGCGCTAACGTGGCGGTGGTAGAGAGCTTGCCAAGAGTTCTGAAATTCAGGACACACTGGGCAGAGAAGCCTTTCTCTCCAAGTTCCACACAGAGCACAAGTTTAATGAGCTGTGCTTTCTTCTCTCTTGCCTCACTGACGTCTACATATGGGTCCTAGCTGGGTAGCCCATGTAAGACCAGCTCAGGAGGCTAAGGCAGGAGGACAGCTACTAGTTTAGGACCTACATAGGCAATTCCAGGCCAGTATGGGCTGCAAAATGATACTCAAAAAAATCGAAAACAAAAACAAAACAAAATAGATCCTTTTAGAGACTTTCAGGCAGAGTCAGCCCTCAATGGCATGTGCTCTGAACAGCTTCTTTCTAAAATAACGACACATCAGTCTGATAAACCTCTCCCAGACTGACAGAGATACCAGCTCTCAGCCCCATCTTCTCATTAAGTAGACAGTCTCCTCCCAGCATGGAGAGGCGTAGCCTCCACCCCACCCAGGAGCCATGTACACTTGGTAAACACAATGCCAAATGGAGGACTAAGGCAGGACACAACAACACACAGAGCCGAGGAGACGGCTCAGCGGGCAAAGCCCTTCCCTCACATCACGAGGACACGAATTCAAATCCCCAGAACCCACAAACAGACAGAGCAACATGAAAAGTGCAAGCTCAGGCTCCCACAGGGAGATGGGAGGCAGAGACAGGGCCTCCAGAGCTCCAGGGCCAGCCTGCCTGGCATCAGCAGCAAGATCAGCAGAAGAGACCCTGTCTCAAGGTGAAAGATGAGGACAGGTACCCTGGGTTTTACTCTGACCTCCACATGCATGCTGTGGTGCGCACATGCACACACACAGATAATAAAAGTGTGCTGTTAAAATATGCTGCAGGAACTGGAGAGATGGCTCAGAGGTGGAGAGCGCTTGTTACTCTTGCAGCAGACCCGGGTTCAGTTCCCAGCACCCAGGCTGGGCAACTCACAACCACCTATAACTCCAGTTCAAGGAATCTAATGCCCTCTCTGCAAACACACACACAGAGAGAGAGAGAGAGAGAGAGAGAGAGAGATGCAAATAAAAAATAAAATCTTCAAAATACACTGCAAATGAAACTCAGAGTGCTGGGTGCTGGGTTGTTTAAATAAATGGTGACTTGACAGTGGAATGTCACAAAGCGTGTGACTGAAATCACAGACAAAAGCACGACAGACGGCAGAGGATGTACAGTATGTGTGACCGCCACATCCATATGAGAAAGAAACTGGTAAAATCTCAAGGCGTCAGCATCCATGGTCAACTTGATAAGGGTTTTTTACAGGCCAGTTGGCCCACACCTTTAATCCCAGTACTCAGGAGGCAGAAGCAGAAGGCTCTCTGTGAGATCAAGGCCAGCCTGGCCTACATAGTGAGTTCTAAGTTAGCTGGGGGCTACAAGGAGACCCTGTCTCAAAAAGAAAATAAGACCAGTTGGGCTCAGGTGGAGGGGGTTTGCTGACAGTCATTGGTTTTGATCTTTTTAGAGACATGGTCTCACTATGTAACTCAGGTTGGCCTTAAATTCACTGTGCAGCCCAGGCTGGCCTAGAGTTACATATTCTCTCCCTCTGCCTCTGGGATTACAGGTGTGTATACCCTTGGCCAGCATTTGGTTTAAAATGTGTGAAAATCTTAAGACTAATTCGCCACATTCTCACAAGTTCCTGATGTGAGGCTATTAAAGAAATCTCAGGCTGGCGAGGTGGCTCAGTAGGAAAAGGCACTTTCCACACAAACCTGACAATCTGAATTTCATCCCCAGAACCCACATGCTCTGTGTGGTCTGAAGAAGGACCTACAATAGCCATGCTTTTGGTTTTGGATGAGCGAATTTATTAAGTATGGAGCAAGAAAAGTAAAAGAATAAACATCAAGCAGCAGACAGACATGCAGCAGACAGCAACGCTCATCAAACAGGGGCTCGGACACCAGCAGAGACGGCTGGAGAGCCCCAAATGAGAGTGAATGCAAGTAACAGCATCCAGTTAGTGACCTCAGATCATCTCACAGACACCAACGGGGGAAGCTGAGGCCGCCAGGTAGATGCCCTGATTGACAGTCTCTCTGCTGGACGAGCTTCCACATCTCTTCCACTGATGGCTTTACATCGTGAGTTAATCAACAGTAACCAACCATGGTTGGAAAGTTTACCTTCTGGCTGTTCTCGAGGACCCGGTGTTTTTAATACATACAATCATTTTTTAAAAGATTTTTAGTCTTGGGACAAAAGTAGACGCCCCCTAAACTAGCAAAAACGTACGCACATTACATAGCACAGAGCCACAGAGAGAACCTCCATGTCCCATCCCAGAATATAAATCAGCGAGTGTTTCTAGACAGCAGTTGGTTCTTCAACACCACATTTCCCCTTTGGGCACAGACTTCAGAAACACAAAAGGAAAAGGAGGGGAACCTGTCAGTCAGTACAGA